ATAGGACCGCCCATTTTGGGGATGGAGGCCCTTACGTGCATGTAGATTATTTCCCCAAACCTTCATCCCCGTAGCTTTGCCCGGTCTCGAGATGAAAAATCGGTACAGAGGCGCAGCGCACACACAGACACACACACAGACAATCTCTCGTCAATATGCGTTTTTCGCATTGCATAGCTGCAAAAAACGCATAAAAAATGTTAGGTCAATAGTTGGAAATGCTAATAATACGTCAGGAGAAGACAAGGTATGATTTTCAATGTTATGTGCAACGAAGACGTGTTCAAAATCATTCGGTATTTCATTCCTTAGCTGTAAACACAGATGAGACATAGCGTGCAGGTAGAAATGGGAATCATCAGTGCATCCTCCCATCCGCCATGTTAGTGTTGAGCACGAAGTTCATCACGATTCAGAACTATGTTGTCATTCATTAAAAACAAGCGAGTTCTGAAGTTTACCGAATATGGAATTTTTGCCATTCGAAGCCAGGTTTCCAGTTTCAGTGCGAACATTGATAAATTGGGGATGCATCCAGCTCGCGGAAACTGCACCAGATATACATGATTATTTTGCCAATCCCGCTTCAGTAACGGGGGTGCGGGCATGGTACCAGAACCGCTCGTTTATCTTGTTAATCTGTAAAGTGTACAAAAAAAATTTTGTGCACAAAACACGGATAAGAAAAGATATTAATAATATTGATCATTAGGGTCAACAACGGATGAACACTAAGTAATGTACCTCGGGGCGTAGCAGTCACGAAAAAGATTGCATTTAGCTGCGATGATGAAACGAAGGTGGATTGTGATGGGATGACAGTTCAGAAAGGTATGGATTAAAGAATTTGTTTCCAAATGACTATGCAATAATTGCCAGTCATCCTAGGAAGAAAATATAACAAGAATTCAGGACCACCTGCGCAATCACTGCCAATATCGCATGTTAGTGATGTTACTGGAATGCTCCTAAACGTGAGTACTACCAAGCCTTTTGATCTGAATTGCATCTGTCGAAGTAGGCCTCAATTTTTATTTTATAAATATTCTATTTCAAACAATTTGAATTTAACAACACCAAAACCGTCGCAATGGCAAGATCTAGTTGTGGTGCTGAATAGAAATATCTGCAGCTTCATGGACCGAAGCATTTCTGTTTCACTGATTAGCTTTTATATTTTATATATATATCATATATACGAACTTCACAAAAAAGCGAAAAACGAAAAGCTGAATGGTCAATATTTTTTTTTTAGATTTTTGGACTTTGCTCATTGCCCTTTCCGAAGCACTTTTAATGTTACTAGAAGTAGAATTATTTTTACCAACAGAACGAAATCGCTAAGTAAATATGCCAGCTACCTCATGTGCTTGAAACTACTACCTATCTGCCTCTGCGTGCAGCAATTTTTTGCTACTCACTACTGGGAAATTAGCCCTTCGTGTTCAAATAACGATAGGAAACTGAAATGAAATTGGATGCAACGGCAGGTCCATCTGACTCATTTCCTGTTGGTAAAACAATATGTATGTGAGTATGTATGCTTGTATGTGTGTGTACGTGTGTGCGTATGTAGACATAAGTGTAATGTATGTTTGCGTGTTAAGTACTTGTGAGTGTCTAAATGTCAAATACTAAACCACTTCTAATTTTTTTTTTCATTGTCCAGTTTTTTAACATCCCTCATAAAACAAACTGAAATGGGGGGAGTACAATGATGAATCTTCTACACCTTTTTTTGTAAGCAAATGCATTGATGGAACACCGAATACGCCCAGAATGACCAGTCGAGATCGTCTGGTCATTTTACAAAAATAACTAGGCGATCTGAGAATTTACCGCGTATTTGGAATTTACCAAGTTATCATGCCCTCATTTTATCATCACTAATACCTTAATCACACGATCCCTTTCTAATTCTTTTCTTTCTACGTCGTTTTCTATTTCTATTTAAAACTCTTTTTTTTTTTAAAGAAAATCAAAAAAGTTCGTCCCTTTTCTATCTAAATCTCTATTTATACGAAATTAAGGAAGTTCGAAAGATTTCTAACAAAATTTTTACTAAACTTCTTTTTTTTTGTAAGAATTTGACGAATTGTTTTGCAAAAAAAGGATCTAAACGAACTTTTTTTTTTTTGTAAAATTCGCAGATTTTTGGTCAGTTGGTCGATGGGTTGCAGGAACAACAGCAGCAGTGGCAATGGCGGTGGCGGCAGGATAATAAGAAGTTGTAAAGTGAATGCGGGACACGAAAACTCGAATTGCCGTCTTTCGAAGAAAGGGGAGGGGGTGGTGGTATTAAGGCAGTATAATAACGATAACAATAGTAATCGCTCTTTCTGGAACAGATGATGACCGATTGAGGATTGCAGCACTGTCGGAGCGCTTGTAGTGATGGCCAGTGCAAGAAGCAGTACTAAAATCTATGTCAAAGGTCAGCAGCTGGTACGAGTGGTTT